AAAATCTCGAAAACATAAAATATTCTCTAACAATGTCCCCCTGAAGGCTGCACAAACTTCAAATTCAACAAATAGAAACTTAAAATCAAAAATATAAAATTCAACAAATAACTCGTACTCGTCACACTTTTTTAATAAATCCTAAATTTAATAAAACCTTGATAACATGTTTCGAGGCTATCGAAATCGGTGAAATATACCCTATTCCGCATAATTACTACCGACATGTATGCACGAAATCATATTGTGTCGCGTAGGAGGAATAATCCTTTTGTCCCTTTGTCGTCTCGAATACCATCCTTCGAGAAACGAATGCTAAGTAGCAGAAGTAACGAAACAAGAAATCAAGCAACGATCCTCGCTCTATGATACTACGATTCTCTCAGCTTCGAGATCGATGCACCCTTCCCCCCTCCATCATTCTCGTTGCCATCCCTGACGATTTATCTTCCGGACAGACACGAAGGATTACCTTTTGACAGTGGCACAATCACCTCGTTCCGCGCTGAGCAGGAAGTGCTTCTCAACTGGGCCAAGACTATAGTCCGAGGGCGGGTTTAAAGATTGCACCGATGGCGCTCTCGCCTCGTTCGCGAGAAGATTCTGCTGCGATTCTGATGGATTCATCTTGCAAGACTCGTGTCTCCCGCGATACTCACGTGCACTGGTTCATCGATCACACAGGAACAACCTACGAACGTTGAATGTTTGTGAAATCCAGGAAGGTTCACAGTTTCAAATGTTTATTGTTATTTGGGTGTATGTTTCCAGGTCGGGTGAAGAGATAACGGCAGATAAAAATTGTATAATGAAAGTTGCATGGATTTTGAAATTCCTTGCCCAACCTCCTGGAGGATACTGACAGAGAATCGTATACCAGTATGGAAGATTAGATGAACACATGAGATCATATATATTATTCATAAAATGTGAGACATATTTGAGACAAAGAGCTTGAAGATTCATTTACAATTGTATAATCTCAATTTAGAATTGCCTTTCTTTTGGAGTATGTTTAAAAAGATGTATGGTGAACAATGTTTGAACAGATTAGTAATTATGAATTAAATCTTAAGCTCTGATAGCATAATCTCAGAACATTATTCACAAAATGTCATGGAAACGACGTTATACGTTTCAAAAGCTGAAACAGTATATGGGTACTATCTCGGTGCTACAATAGATTACAAGTAAGTACGTAAGTTACAGCAGTACGTGGGCGAATGCGATCTCGATTTGTGATACGACTTCCTTCGTAATATGTTTAGAAAATTGTATATAGTATATCATACACAATATGATGGACGAAGAAACGTTTGCAATTTGTGGCGACACTTAGCGACGGAACTTTCCGACGGCTTCGCGACACAAATCGCTACATCGATATCCCTACGGTACTTTCGCCGAATATTCGGAAGAATGCATACGCGGCAACGGTCGCAGACGTCTAACAAATGCGAGCGTAGTGGGGATATCGAGGAGAAACAAAGAAAAGAATCCGTTTGGTTTTGAACAAAAGATTCATTTCGTTTCGAACAGCGAAGTGCGAAGGGTCTAGTGTAATAGCGAAGCAGACGCATTCGAGAAGCGTGATTGTTGATTGTTGACTGTTAATTATTAAATAAACTTTATTGTTGGATATCGAGAGTATTTCTTGGGAACTTGCATCTAACATGCACCTTAAATTAAATAAAAAGTGTGATAAAGAAAATTCATTTAAAAGTGTAGCATTGAGATTTGAAATGTACAGGCAGCTGGAAAGTGAATCGAAAATTAACTTGACGGATCGCGGTATCCAGATTAAGTTCCCTTAGATTAAATATCGAAATTGAATTATGGATTTCACGGAGGAAATGCGGAGCAATCGATAGGTATGACGTATATCCACGTTCATAAGATTATCTTCGGATCATTACAAAGGAATCCTGTATTCTCTGCTCAATCCGAGAAACTACTTTCCCTTTTGTCACGATTCCTTTGTCTTGCGACTTTTTCGCTGCATATGCAACTGCATGAACAATATGAAAGTAATATAGCTATATTCTCCTATAGTAGAGCAGTTTCGCAGTATTAGGTTCATCGAGAAGATTATGAAAAATACTAAGAAATGTTCATTGCTGTTAAAAACCTTGATCGATAAATTATTTCAGAGCAAGATGTTTCGTAAAAGTTACATTAGAAAAATTTGTAACACAGCTTTCACGAGCTTCTTTAGAAAGCTTTTTTAGATTACGGCTTTTACAAGATTATTTTGATAAGAAAAATGTTCAATACTGAAGATCAGAGGCATTGAAAGAACATTGTAAAAGTAACAATGAAATGTTCAATAACGAAAAGATAAATTGAATCGCTAAATAAATGCAAGATAATCGTAAATCTAAATATTTCTTTTTTTTCGTACTATTATCACGTATATTACTTTTTCTTTTGTTTATCTTTAAATTTTGTTAATATAAATTACTGATAACATTGAGTTTTACTGACGTGTAATTGGTTCAATGCAGATTCAAATTTCAACTAGAATTCTTTTTTCGTGGAGAATCTTCTGAAATTGTGTGTTCGATTACACGAAATACGGTCACATCAGCGAAACAATTCCATTGACCAATCAACATAGATGCAGTCATCCAAGAATCGCCATCCATATACAGATGCGCTAGTTACAATAAATAGTAACTAGAAGATAGTTCTAGATATAATCGATAGATTTAATCGATAATTTTAAGATATTCTTTTGTTTTTATCCCTAGCCGATGTAAGAAAGTGCAATAAAGGTTATTCAGCTCAGAACGGTGTGATAGATTTATTCAAAGAATAAACTAATAACTATTGTGATCCTACCTCTAAATATAGAAATAACAACAAATTTTCACAAGTTTAACTGGACTCAACTTACACCACGGATTTATCGATCATTTTAAACTATTCTAAACGAATCCTCACTACATCTACACACTATACACACACGTAGTGAGTCGTACCTCGTAGTTTCTCTAGATCAACGTGAACCGATGTCGACCATCGCGATCTTCGTCAACTCAATCTTCGATCGACTCAACGAACTCCTACTCTACTCTGGTCTACTGGCCTCTCACTCGATAGCTGCAATCGTTTCGAAACTTGGTCACAAGTGACAGCGGAATAAAGCCGTGCGTTCACCAAAGCTCTGGATAGTTGGTCGAAGCCATAGGACGTCGGTCAGCTGGGGCATGGATTAGGCACAAACGCGTGGATCGCATCGAAAGAGGAACGCCTAGTGATCACATTGTGTATCCACGTGCACGAGATCCGAAGAATCTCGCGAGTCTATCATAATTCTTCGGATTAATGGACCACGACAAAGAAAAAGCACGGAAGAGGGGAAGGGATGTTCAGAGGCAGTTCAGCCCCGATCGTTCTTCTTCGTTTGCTTCTGGACACGAGTTAATATGGCAAAGGAGGACTACCGGAGCTCAATGAAACCCGCAGAATTTTTGTCGTCATTTATGAGGATGTGTTTGTATCGTATGGTGTACGTGTAAACAGCTTCAACGAATTTCCTCCGGGTTGATTGGGAGAAATAGCGACATTTAGGAGGGTTAGTAGTTTGGATGGTTTCCTTCTTTCTTTCCCTATGAAGTTTCGCTTGGTTATTTTGGCTTATTTCCGTTTTAGTGGTAGATGGATTTTTTCATGATGGCTGTTCTTTATGGAAAGAGTAAATCGATTCTATTCTCATTATTATTTCCATGTTATCCATTGTTATTTGTACGAAAAGGTGAATGCTGATTGCTTGAATGATGCTTCGAGAAGAATCGGCTTGGGAATTGGAGATACTATCGTTGGAAGAGTTCAAGCTTTATCAGCATTATTTTGCATGCGTGAAGCATATTGTGCAGATAATTAGCTTGTGTAAGTGAAACCTTCTCATTTTTTCAATAAGGATGTTTCCTTCTTTCTAATAATATTTTCCTCGTTTTTAATAGGACTGAACAATATTCTGTGCAATTTTATCAAGCCCTTCGAAAAGAAATTACGATTGTATTAGTCATCCAAAATTAATATAATTAACTGTTGATGTTTCAAAAAGATTTGTATAGCATGTATCATATGTTAATAAAAATTTTCTATGGTAATCGCGAGTCGAACTGTACGTAAGGTAAATTCGAAGCAATACGTACAAATTTGAAGATTCCAATGGAAATAGTAGTGATAAGTCTTGATTTTTCTCGGGTCAGCCTAAACGAAGGAGGAAACGCATATTATGGAGAGGGGTGAATGAATCAGAAACGTAAACCATATTTCCAGTCACTTTTTTTGTCCCTTTAATTATTTAATTATACGCGTGTATTAAATTTACATTCACTTTAAGAATAACGTTCAGGTTACAGACAATGTACAGTAACATAATACTAGTTCCTATTCAAATTGTAGAATACTCCAGAAAATAATAACTAGGTCCATAAAACTTTAAAAAGAGATAACAAAATATGTTCTGCTAATAAACAAAGAAGAAGGAAAATTATTACAGTCGCGACACAATTATTTCTAGTTTCACAAGGTAAGAATACCTTGTGAAACAAATACGAAATTAATTTGTAAATATTATTAGGTCATCCCATAGGTAATGCGTTTTTTATGTATTTATGTTGAAAAAATAAATGAAAAGTTTGTTAGCAATAAGTAAACTCGATTGGTTTTTCGAAAATTTATAAATAATGATTTGAATCAATTTAAAATAATTTTAGAAAATTAAATTTAACTATATTAAAAAAATTCGGTTTGTTGCACTTTACTCTGTGCAAGAAACGAATATATTATTTTAAAATAAATCTCTGTTGCTAGGTTGTTAGGACTTAGCCAAAATTTTTTCAGGTACTCGACAATCTAACAATGGAATGACGATTTAGTTTTGTTATAGACAATGAAGACGATTGTTGCAACGCAGAAACGTTCAAGTTTTATTTCATCTCTTTTCTCTTTGGACTAATCTCGTGGACTCTCGATTCACGTATACGAAGCCAATGAAATTTTCTTTATTTACACTGAATACGCAGGTGGATGTACATTAAAGTACCCAGAAGGAACGTTATGGTACAACGTTATTCGTCGGCCTTTTTGTTAATCGAACAAATAGATCTTTATGAACAGAAATCATTTAAGGTTATACAATCATCTACGAAGGCATAAATCAATAATTAGACTAATTAGCGACGATATAAAATTTTGAAAAGATCGTAGGAAAGTATTTTTTACTACTGATAAAAAAGAAATTAATTTGTGAAAAGTAATTAGTGAGGTAGATCGTTATAGATTATCGCATAAATTGATACACCAAGCTTCTACTATAGTGATTCATATAACTGTGTTTATCTTCCGTTTATTATCACGCTTATCTCTTCAGACGGCAAAATTTATTCATTAAAAATGAATTATAAAATTGTTACTTGTAATAATCACTGCTTCCATGTATCATGTTTCGTATCATTCATAATTAAATATTATCGATTCAAGTGAATACAAACTGTTGAAGTGGTTACATAACCTCAACACAAACAGTTCTTCTTTTTTTAGAATTATTGACCATTCATCTATCTGAACTCTCTTGTGCGCAATTGAATAATATTATTAATGAAATTTTATAATTCACAAGTTACAGATTATCAATACAGGTTAGCAATTGACTTTCTTACATAATTGGGCCAAGTTTGATAGCAAAGCAAATGGAATTTTACAAATGAATTTATATAAAAAACATATATAACAAATAACATGTAAATCATTCGATTAATCTATTTAATGTAAAATTGTACATTTATGAAGAAGAAATCTATAACTCACAACTTGTCATTCGCCAGTTCACTACTACTAATTAATAAATTAAGCAAAAGGGGCCATATTATGGCCATTAAAAAATTTAATAATGCGTTAACAGAAATAATATTAAACAGCATTATTTACATATGATCGCACAACGATCCACAAATCTTCTCGAATCTTTACAAAATTCAAGGAACTTACTGAAATATCTCCGTGAAAACCAAATAGCGCAGTAAAAATGTTAAAATCGATCCATGAGAAAAATTGAAAAATATGATAAATCCATTTTTTGTTTCTGACAATTATGTCACTTGATGTCTAAAGAAAAATGTTTTAATATGAAACAGTTGAGAATAATTTTACAGACTTGAAAATATAAGATTTTGCAAAGTAAGTAATAAATATCCATAAATTGTGTTCTAACAAACGAATAATATGACGTAGAATTCGTTGCCGATGTATTTGTAATTGTCTAATACTATTAAGCGCAGTTTTACCTGAAAGACCAAGACGAAAGCATCAACCGGCTCCATAAAATCATTTGCAAGGCTAAAAGCTCGAAGAAAGGTGTAACAGGTCTTCGTCAAGTCATAACTGAGTATGGATCGGCCGATAACAACGTTGTCCATCGGAATTTCGGGATCGATTGCGGTGCAGTGTCCCGAAAGTGAGCTGTTGACGGCGGGTCTTGGCACGAATTCCGATGAATAGGCGCGATGGATCGATTACAAGAGCATATTTAATTGTGTTTCGAACCGAGCCGGTCTTCTAAGAAGTCCGGACTGTTTCTATGTTCTATATCGCTGTTGTTCAAAATGTTACACAGACGAAGCAATCTCGCCTCGTACGGATGAAGATCGTTAATCTCGTTATTTGATAGTAGATCGGAGCACATCGCAGTCATGTCGATTTCTAGAGGATAAACCTGCACGTTCCGGCCGTATCTAGTATGGAAAATGAATATTACGAAGAACGTTATGAACATTATTATTATCAGGTACAGTGACTACAAAAAGTATTAGCACACATTCTTATTTTCCAAAAAACTTTTTTTTAGTAGGTTTTCATTTCATTTTCATTGTACCAAATTTTTGTAGTCATATGAAAATACTACTACTAGTACTATTTCTAGATCTAATTAAAGAACATAACTGTGTGGATCAATGGATCAACGGATGAATTGTGGCCAGAGGAACAAAATTAAATGTAACCGGTTTTCTCAACAGAAGCTTCAGAAGACATTTTAAAGTTCAGACAGTTAACTTTCGTTACTAATTAACAATTAGCAGGCACAAGCAATAATTTCCTTTGCTTCGATAGGTATTTGACAAATTTTTAATTTAAATAAAATCTTGGAAAATCTAATTCACTTTCACTTACCTGAGAAAATTCAAGTTATTTCTTCCGTGTCTGTAATGTGTGTCATCGTTCAGGTTCTTGAAGCCCGATCGGCCAAACCTAATGATGATATCCGGTGACTTGAAACGAGGATACCTGTTCACCTTTGAGCTACCATCGCCATCGCTGCTGGAAACTCTCTCTATATTTCCGTCCAGATCGCTGCGGCCGTATCTAATGAAAGAGGACCCCATGCTGCTTCGTCGTTCTTTTGAATCAGGATCTTCCGAACTTCTATCGACGTCATGCCTCTTCAGCACGTATTCGAAGTCATTGGGCCCATCCTTGAAGATCCTCAAACTTCCATCAGCCTTCATGGGGGTTAATATGGAGGAAGAAACCAGTGCCCAGTTGCAGATGAAGGACAGCACATACAACGATGTTAACGAGCTCTTCTGAAAGAATATTAAAATCCTTTGGGCATTAGTTGCGTATGAAAGATCGATGAAATGGAAATGTGCTAATAATTTGCTGGTGAACTCTCAAGTACACCAATGAAAGATTTGAATCTGTACTTTTAAGTTATCTCCGAGAGCACTCCTTCTCAAAAAGTGCCTAGTAAAATACAGAAAATGATATACAATGTTATGAATTCACAGATATTTATAAATATGTATATTAATAATAATAGCAATGAAAAAGATCTTACAAAGGTGAGAAAGAAGTCATACAAAAAAGATAAAATAAATTGTAACATAGAGAATACATAGGAATATTTATAGAAAGAACTGATTATTTACTTTACGTAACAAGATGGACGAACGGTAATATCATTTGCATAACATTCGAGAACGCTGAAATCCCTATTGAACAGGACACACAATAAGGAGTAGTTATAAAGATCCAAAGAATCGCCGCGTAACGATGTTTCGTGTATAATTTCATACATTTCCTTTTCCCTGTATTTCTTTCCGTTTTATTCGCCTGTACACTCTCCTGAGCATAATGATTGTTTAAAAGTTCTTAAGAAGCTCTTAAAAGCTCTTAAAAATTGCACAAACTACTTTCCATAGAATTATTAAAATATCGGAATGTAGGAAAATAGGAATGAAAAGAAATATCAAACGTTTTTTTTTTTTAATGTAAAACTGAAATTTGCAGATAAAATGTATAATTTCGTTAATTAGATTTCAACAGAAAAAGAAGGTAAAGATGAAAAGTTTGTCAACTAACGAAATATATATTCTACAAGATTTAGGGTTAAGTTGGGGTTAGGTTAGGGTTATTTGACAATTACAAACACCAGCTTTATTATAATATATTTAATTTTGGAAACCAATATAACCGAGTCACAGTATTTCGATCACTTATCTCATTGTACTCCGGAACTTATCCATAATTCTATAATTAAAATAGATATTTTCAAAAATAAGTAAGTATCCGGATACTTTTGTACAGTAATGTTAGTACATAGTAAGTCTAAATTCTCAAAATCTTAACTTCCACTGCTATGATTTTCAGCCCACGAAATACCACATGGTACAATTACCACGAGATAGCGGAGAATTGGTCGAAAGATTCTGTTACAGATTCCTCCAGATTATTTGATATGCGTTGTTGGTGACCGCGTCGGAAGCCGGTGATAAATAATATCGGCTTGTTATTAGATGTCTTAACAGGATGTTTAGTAATAACGCGGTATACCGAGCCAGATTAATACGACGTCTTACGTTACTTTAATTAACCCTGTACACGGTCGCCCTTCATAATGACCACGTCGCCTACGTTTTCTACTAAAAACGTACGGATTTACGGGGAAGAATAACCAGAGGAATAACCGACATAAACCAAGACCAAGAATAATATCGATGCTCTACTGGATCATTATCAATGTTATTATTCTTCGTTTGGCCTGGCCCAATGCTTCAAGGCTTCTTTAACGACGAATGAGAAATGTTTACACAGGCAACAAAGGAAAAGAATATGAAGATCCGAAAAATTACAATGGTGATTCGAAAGTAAGATTCGTGGGAGAACAGAAAGGGAAAAGAAAGGGAGAATAAGAATGATTTTTTTATCAAGACTGAAATTGTAAGAAATTTCTTTCTCCTGATTACGTTTGTGATTATAATGGAAAATTGGATTTGATGGGGAATATTGAAGATAAGAAAAAATTGGTCATCGTAGAAGTGATTGTGCGTGTGAATGCAAATTTTCAATATCGTGATTACGTCATTATGATTTTCAATCCGTCATGTAGACGTATAAATCGATAGAAATAAAAAGCTTCTCGAAACACGTTGAAATAAAATCATCGTTAAATAACACCACTGAAGAAATATTCCAAACTTCATCTCCATCATGGATTGAGGTTAGGTTGTTCTACAATCAGAGAATTATTCATAAATTTCTTCCAGTTTCCTTAACTTTGACTCCAGCAATGATGATCACTGTTACTTTATAAATTTCAAAAGCATTTCCTCAAAAACTATCAGAATACCGTCAAAGAAGGGTAAAGAATAAGACGAAGAAGTTGGATGAATGTGAAATTAAAATTCGTTCTCCGTCTGATATCGTATTCGTTGTCCGCTACGGAAGAAGATCGACTTCGCAAATTATGTTATCCATCGTCCTCGATACACCTACCGCTCTTTTGATAGCAATTTGTACGAGCAAGTCGTAAGAAAAGTGGCGAAACAAGGTGGGTGTAACCATGAGGAATTTTAAATATATGTCACTGGCAAAAGAAATATCTCGTCAAAGCTATCGAAAATAACGGAAGGAGAAATGCAATGAACGACTCTCTAACCTATATGCTGTCTGCACGTACTATAATACATTTCTTTTATTAATTTAATATTTATCAGTTGAATTATATATATATTATATAATGTTAAATATATATATATTTATAAAATCATATACATATATCCATTACATATATATATATCTCATTTCTCTTTGCTTTTAAAGGATTTGTTTGACGAAGGGAATGTTATAATAAAATATATGTATAATGATATCGATAACTTATGATACGTGTCAGAAAAAGGTAACGAGATCTACTCTTTTGTTATAAACAAATTGGCTTGAAAATTGTGTCTAATTGAAATAATATGGAATTTTGTTCCTAGCAGTGAGTTGCGCAACGAAAAGTTAAAGAGGTTTGGTTCGTGAAGCGAGCGTGTAATAACTTGATTATAATTCGATTAAGCGTAATTATATATATAGAAGGAGAAATGTAACAGCATACATTTGTTCACTCTAGCATCATGGTTAATGAATGGATCTGTTTTCAGGGGAGGAGAGATATGTATTTTAATACATTACAATCTTTTCGCTATATTTGGAGTATATTAAAATTCCGAAAGAAATAATGATATCCTTAAATAAATCAATATTTTATTCATAATATTCTTTTCTGTCAGAAAAATATACGGAAGAATTTGCTTCGTCCAAAATGCAAAAGGAGTACTAAACTTTAGTAAATATAATAAAATATAATAAAAATATAATTAATTATTTATGGAATGAAATCCTACAAATTAGCTTTATGCAACTAATTGTAAGTATTAAATATAGATACATTGAATGAAAATCAAAGTGATTCTACATAGAGAACATTTAGAGTTACTTGACCGGAAATGATCTGATGAGCTGTATGTGTAACAAAATACTAATTTGTACAAGAACAATTCTGCTACTTTCGATGTTACTGTTGAGATAAAAAATGGATATTGTGCAAAAGCAATAAAAACGCAAAGCAGAAGAAACAGAAAATACTAAAATATGCAATGCGTGGAAAATAAATTATTATATTATTATCATTTCATGTGTATAATACGTGGGAGAATTATCAAATGTTTGAAACGAATTACAATAGATTCTCATTTTCTTGAACCACATTTATTGGAATGAAATGTTGGTTAATAGTTAAATCCTCTTGTCTGAATATAATCTATTATTAATTGGATGAAAAATTGTAGATAGAGAAAATTAGTAAGTTCCTATCATTGTTCCATTTTGTTTCCTTCATTAATTAATGAGATGATATCATAGGCAATCGAAGAAGATTCATAATATAATTATGTAAATAATCAATGAACTCTTATTTATCTTATTTATTTAAACTTTTCAGAGAACTAACTGTTTATGCGGCTAAAATTCATTGATTTTCTTCACTATCTGCTATTTGTCCACGGAAATAAAGTTCTAGTGTAATTCGGACTTCATTCGGATTTCATTTTGTACGCGTACGGTCGAGCTTAAATGATTTCAAATGGTGCATTACGCGGTACGAGTGCCTGTTTCAGGAATGGAGACTTTTTAAACGTTTCAAAGTTACCTTCATCTTCCTTAATATAACTATATGTTGTTTTGTAAATTAATTAAAATAATTTTCAATTCTATAGAAGAAAGTAAGCTTTTTCAAAACAAGTTCAAAAGAAATTTCAAACTAGTTACTGTAATTCTATGGTCTTTCCATTCCATTAATAGAAGTATATAAATTATAAAATTCATTTCAAAACATCATATTTGCATCTATTTAATATTCCAAATTGAAAAAGAAAGTTAAGCTGCATGTAACTTTTACACCTTTTTATAGTTTCATTTGCAATGGCCTACAAGAAAGTGTAACTATTTGTCCATAACTGCAAACATTCATAATTTGTAAAATACTTAAAATTAATCTAATTAGTCAATTCAATGGAAGAAGATCGATTAGTACTCAAATTAACTGCTGTTTTGATTGAATTACATGGAAACAGAAAAACAACAGTGGAAGCTGTAGAATAATTACAAACGAAATAATATTATACCAGGGATAGAATAGAAGATACTTGAACGTTTTTAATATCGCTTCCATTGTTTTGTCATTATTCTTTGGTAATCTGTGGTTACCGCGTCGACAATTGTTACATATTTGCCACAAACGCAATAAGTCTCATTTATTATCAAAACTATTATCAATTCACAAGACAATGCAAGCAATTTTTAATAGAATTGACAACAGACTTCACTTACTAACAATAAGACTTCTGACGCGAAACTATCTAAAATTGTTAACAAAATCAAGATCAAAGTATGCCTCTAATTGTGGCACCATTTCCTTTGACACAAAACAGTCACAACAACACAAAAGGTTAATACATTCTATTAAAAAAAGAAAACTTCAAATTACATATGAATGCAAAAGCTGAAGATCAGTAACATTTTCACCGTGATTTTAATACACAAAACACCTTTTACCTAATCTAGACCTATTGCAAAAAGAAGGAACATAAATAAATGAAAAGTCAAGAGAAAGTATAATAGCAAGAAAAAGGTCCAAATAGAGAGATCCACCGGTGCACCAAAAATTCACAAGAAGATTGAATCACTCACCATGTCGCAAGTGTAGTTGTTATGGCTATCGAAAATCTTTCTCGATGGTCTCCGAATATGTCAAGTTCCTCCCCTTGGTGGGTTGATCGCGGTGAATTTGTTGCACAAAATGAAGAAGAAGAAGAAAGGTAGGGAAATAGAAAGGAAACTATCGCGTTCGCAGAAGGGATACGCGACGTTTGCGGCCTGTTGCTGCGGTGGAATGAGTGCCCGGGGTTAGAGATGACACCCTTTATATAGAGACACCCTCGGCGCATCCCCCGTAGTCACCTCGGGCCGACATGGGCCGACACATAGACGAGATAGCCTGAGTTATGATTGCCCGAGGCGTATAACACGATACCTCTACATTATTTTGATTCAATTACACCACCGGCTATCTCCTTTATTATTTATGAGTCTTGGCAAATAATAATCATCACCGAACAGAATCGATGATCCCTGTACCAAGACTTCTCAGATAGAACACGGATTGATCTATCAGTAACTGCTTCTTTTCACACTGGCACGATTATTTTCACGATTTTTCAATATAATAGTCTCAGATTTTCTATCTGAGTGATTTGCTCAAGTAAGAATGCTGACATGGATTACACTGATCATCGATCTGTAACTGTTTCTCTCCATGGTTGCACGACTGTTCTGACTATCGCTCCATATAATAGTACAAACGGTTTAAAGTTTCCTGTTCGAGAGGTTTAGTGGAATAGGAATGATTTGCTGAGTAGTATACAGGGGATTTGAAGCTAATAGTCATTTTGGGGCCCCTACAAGTAAATCAAATTTAAAAAAGTTTAACCTGGCTAGATCGATGCTTGTTAAACCAATAGGAAATTAATATTTAAAGATTCTTTGGTTAATCTGTCACAATTCACTTGGATTATTACTATTACTATTATATATACATTATTATTAATTAGAATACGCACGATGCAATGGACAAAAGTGTTTTTAAAACTGCCATGATAAGCGAGACTCGTTGAAGGATTCAATAACGTTTTGATTTAACAGACGTCATTTTAGCAAAGTTAAAATTTATATCCCAGTCTTTGCATACTAACAGACGTATTTTCTGTGATAATTGTTCACTAATTTTGTTGATAAGTATTTTTGCAGCCCCACGCTTATAGTACCATTAGCGTGAAAGTAAATTCAAGCCTGGTTATACAATAGCACTATAATAAGACGTGACTATTTTGATTGTAAAATTTGAAAAAAATCTGAAAATATACTGTTTCCACCGTTCGCGGAGAGACGCGATCGCGAGATAGCACGTCAACGAGAGTTGTCAGTTCCCGTTACGATTAAATAATCGACGCCACAAACTGATCGATCCCTTTATTTCTATTATGATAATAAGGGTAGTTCAATGAAATTGCACAGAATTAACACAAATAAATTAATGTTTATTTCAACAACTTATTAACTAGAGAGATATAAATGGAACAAAATCAAAATATAACTGCGTTTTGGTTGATAAATAATGCGCGACGTATGATATGTGTGGACGGTTTGATTTCTCGAAAAGTTCTGATCGCCCTTCGATCTTTTTCGTCTTTTCTGGAAGACGACCAACCTAACCCCACTACGTTCGGATCACGCCACATTCTTTTACGCGAGGTAAAATAACGGCCGCGAGTCGACGTTTCTGGAAGTCGCCCTGCTTAATGAACCATGCGCTTGCCACCACAAAACCATGCGCTTGCCACTACAATGTTTATTTGCCGGGCAGACGCGACGATTCGTCTGCGACATTGTAGTGCGACGATCGACGGTTAAGTATATGACCTATGGCAAACCGCATGGCGTAATATATACATAGACATTATAATACATATATATTACATACATACTCTGTTTGGTAAAGATTAATTTTTGAATATTTGAGTAAATATTTGTGTTTAATTTAAAGGTGAACAGTTGTAATTTATGTCTAATATTTTCTTCTAGAATTGTTTCCCATTTATGTGGTATTTGATTTCATTCGCTCTGTTTGGTGGGTGGATCTTTGGAGAAATATCGGAAATTTGAATAAATATTTATACTCTACGGGAATTTCTATGTTATTGAAATATTGTAATAATTTATATAATTGTTTTTTATTCATTCCATATTCAGTTTGGATAGAAGAATATTTCATATTCGGGATTTGTGCTTCTATAATAAATGGTTATACAAAAAGCTACTGGAAGTTTGCATAAAGATTTAAGTGAATATTCACGTATTTATTTTTCATCGTTTGTTTTGTATTTGTTTTTCATTCGTGCTACCCTTTCCACCGATTACTATCACTTCCGTGATATTTTAGTGTAGCACCTAGAAAGAAGGATTCCTTCTCCTAAACACTCTTTGATTTTACTTCCTGTTGATTTAGATCGATTTTTCATTTTTAAATATTTCTTTTTTTTACCGATTTCTCGACCTAAAAGTGATTCTGAGAATTATTCTCGTCGATAAAAAGCGATGAAAGCCAAATTAGTAAAATTGCAAGGAATATTAATTATTAATTTTTTTCATTCCTATTCTTTTTACGAAAAAGCATTTTCTTCCTTTTATTCTTTTCTAATGCTAACACTAATTCTAATATTCTTAAATGCTTTATTATAATTTTCAAGTAGACGAGAAAGATATAAAAAAATTCAAAGGAAGAAATATTATAAAAGGCGAAATATTTCTATAGAATATTTCTACAGAAATATGTCTACATATTTCTTTAGTAGATAAAGGCTTTCATGCATCGGAGATGAAGTGCAACAGGTAGAGGCACTTGTTTTCTAGAGGCGAATCTGGGTCACTTGTTTTCCATCATGACACAACAATCGCGACACAGGTGCGAATGTTTCCTTCTTATTTGATATATGTATTTCTTAAATGTTTTGGATCGTCTTCCACTAGTCGCGGGAGTGGGGAAGCACAAGGAAGGGACATTTAACTTTGCGTAAATCTTAAGTGCAATAAATCTGTAACAATAAAAATTCATTCGTCATCTTTCCAATTTAACCTATATTTAATTTTGTTAAAACAATTACTAAGTATCTTTTAAATTCGAATAAAAACATTGAAACAAAAAGATAAATCTAACAATATGCCCTATGCGTGCATCAAAATGTGTGTAACTTCTACGAGATCAATTCTTCTTTATCTACTTCCGGATAAAACGAACCTAATAAACGAGTGCGCACAAATTCCATAGAGTAGGAAAAAGGTGTAGAAGAAAAATAACGACCTATTTGGAAAACAAATCAAATTCTTACAAATTATATTAATAACAGTTGATATTGAACGAAATTTACGGATTATCGAATTAGTGATTTCTTTAACTTTTAACTTTAGCTTTAACTCTTTAAAGACATAAGCATAACAACATCGGAACTTCCGGTAGTGCGCAAGTATTCCCCAATCTGACATGAGGATAAACTTTAAAGTATTCAGACGCAATTCTTGAAGACGTGATTGCGTCTCCAGAAAAGTTAGCTGGCTTTTATTCCTGTCGTTCTTTCTTATGTCCTCTTCCTCTTCTTTCCTTTCCCTCCTCTCCTTTCTCTCCCACGTAGATGTACAGCGTATATAAGTACAATATAGCACAGTTTATCTTGAAAAATGGTTGTTTCCCTGCTCGCCAACAACCATTGTATATACATACTTGCTGTGTGGACGAAAAAGCCGGACTGACATCTTTAAAAGTATATAATCCGATGTTAAGCCTACGTACCAGTGGAAGGTATCATAGACAGTCTGCTGAGAATTTTATATTTGGATGACATCGATGGTGAAGATACAGATCAATTAAAGAAATGGTTTAGATACTTACTATTTAATTGGTCATTTTAATCTTTTAAGTTAGAAAGTTAGGTTAAGTTAGAAAGTTACGTTTGGCCGTAATTCGACTAATTTGATTTTTATTTTCGTTTTCCAATGTAAAACATAATGAATTGGTAGAAATGTACCGACTAGTGAACGACTAGTTAAGCCGATTATCCAGCCACTTTTGTAGTCAACAACTAGTAGGCAAAAAGAGCCGATTGATCAGCCTTAAATTTGTAGTATTATTAATAACTCGATAAGATATACAAATAGAAATACAATGTACTTTCTTTACTGTCTTTAGTATGATTTTAATATTTTTTAATATGTAGTAATATAGTATACTTACTTATATGTATATATTTGTATGTAACATAATTGTTATATAAAAAATTAAAAATAATAATTAGTATTTAATTAGTAATAAATTAGTATAAAATAAACTAAATAAACACCAATTAATATACTATAAATACCTATTAATAAACTATAAACTTTGGTAATTGTATCTTAATTTTATCAGAGCAAAGACTTCAATAAATATAACAATGTTAAAAAATTTACTTTCGAGTTTGTAATATTAAACAATCATAAATTTGACGCGTTTTGTAAAGGCTTTTGAAAATCATCGGCAAAGACGTCAGCTTCTTGAGAACCGGTTAATCGGTTAGTCGGATAATTGCTAAATCTCTAATGATATGTTTAATGTAGAAGCAAATTGATGAATACCATTCCTGATCCTAATATTATTAGTGTTCTTTAAAAAAGATATTATCATAGATATAATATGTAATATTTAGAGAAGTAACTATGAAAGAGAAGTTAACAATTAAATGATCAAAACTAATAGAAAATTGATCATTTAGTAGAATATACATATAGAATTTACATGGTTGTTGATCTTATGTTCTTAATTTACAAGCAAATAATAACAAACAAACAATAATGCTCACTTAAGAGTACCTAAATGATAGAAATGACCCGATTATAATCACATATAATTCGGTTAAAGTTTCTAAAACCATTAAGTTATAGAAAGGATTGTTAAATAAGTAATACAAGGCTTATGCAAAAACGAATTATCTTTATATTTTAGGAATTAGGAAAAACAATAGGCGGTTTTTTACGAGATAAATACCACAGACAAAAGTAAAAATCTTGTCATCATTTTAATATCAAAATATTTGTGTGCATGGCCATTTTAGAAATAAATAATTATACATGTATATGTGGAATGTTACCGTCTTAATAAATAAAATGCAACAGCTGCCAAGATTTTAATTTCATAATATGTTTATTCATAAAGCGTGAGTGCTCCTGGTTTTTGTTTAGAAAATATAAAGTTGAAAGAAGAGTGATATATTAGTTAAACTTTAAAAAATTGATCAACGTGATGTACTAAAATTTTACCTTAACTACCTAAATTTATTTGTACTTGAGTTTAAATCAATATACTTTCCTCTTTAAAATGTTATCACTTTTTAATAGTCTACTTATCACTCCTCTTTGTATTTTTTAAAATTATATTTTACTTAGCATTAACACACTATTGATATAGTATATTAAAACTAAATAAACCGAAATCTTTAATTAATTGAGGAGAAAAACAAAATATCACATTCCTTATGTTTCTCTCCATTTTTTATGGTATTAACTTATGGCAGGACAATTATTTTGCATAATTAAAATGTTTCGCTTCTACAGCATTTTGTGGAATCTTCTTTTCTTATTTATGAGAAACTCTTCAAGTTAAGCTACCTAAATTTCTTCTTATCGGCAAACGTTAAAATCGGTTCATGAAACGACACTTGTGCTACACATGTAGCCATTATAAGTTTATTTAGCACGCAACCACTTATAAAATAGTATCTGTAAATTATTTTAAATTCAGTCTTTGTAAAAAATGTCCTTAGGAGCTATATTTTGTTTCACATTTGTTTGTTTCTTCTTGTTTTTGGATACAAAAACTTTTCGCAAATGAACAACAATTCCAGTTATTTTCCGAATCGTTGTTCGGATTTACTGTATTTTTCTAACAGACATGTAAAATCCTTTGCAGATAAACTAACGTGTAAAGGTAACGTGCTGAAATAAAAAATACATATTATTACAAATTGAATGTAAAAAATGTTGAAGAATACGAAAACTATATATGATCGAAATAAACTTACTAGAATTCTGTTATTCGTGTTTGCCATGGCAAGACACCGTACGTGGAACAAAGGCGACCATATATTAGTCCCATATCAGGGTCCGGAATTCCCCGTGAATTTAATTTCTCATTAAGTAAATCGATATTTATTTCTTCCGGCTTAATCGTCCCTGTGACGACAGCTTCAGCTAATGTTTTTGTTAACGATACTATTTCTTTTTTTCCATCTGATGCGCACAACAAAGATATCCGCGTTTTCAATTTGAAGTCTATAAATTAGGAAAAACGATACATATATACATTACCATGTTCACCAGCATTATAGAATTAGATCCTATTCAATATATTATTAATTATAAGACATTATTTGTATAGGAAACGCACCGGTTATTCCATTTTGTGTGAATCCTGCATTTGGTTTACTCCAACTGATGCGATCCAGTAAATCGGGCCGTCTTTTTGCGAGTTCGTATTTCAATAAATTCTCATTTCGGACTAAGTAACCTATAACAACAAAAATCATTATAAGTATACTATTAATTATAAACATGATGTAATTAGCAATGAAATTTAATTATAAAATTCATTTTCTAATAATTTTCTAATTGTAAAATATTTTAGAAGTTCTTTTTATTGATTTAGTAACAAAGCAATAGTTGAATAATATATCATATAATTATGTATCTTTTTAATAGCAAGATTAATCGAATTCGAATATACTATCGCACGCACACTTGATTTATCCTTGAGACTAGATAAGACTAAATAAACTTTGTATTCAGTTCTAAAGATGCGAAAATTATTTGACATAACTACATTTTTTCAAATAATTACATTTTTAACTTATAAAATAAGTTCACATTGCTACAATTGAATATTTGCTATATAATTTCTACTAAAAATCCTAGAAAATCAAATCCATTTAATGCATTATTATTATTTTATTATTGAATTTTTGTTAAAAAATTATACAATTTTTAAATATACTTTTGTCCAAACTATTAGGAGATAATAGTAGTAATAATGGAACTTTAGCTAGTAGATAATATAATCAACAGCTTATGATAAGATTTGTAGTGTTTTCAAAAAAAATTTTTGTATGGAAACATAATGTTTGAAAAAAATTATTTAAATAAACTAAGGATATATGTAAATCATGATAGAAGTTTACAAAAAAGTTGCATTATTACTACATTTAGCATTAGAATAAAGCATTTTACAATAAACATTTTATGATTTTTTTTAAACCCACATATCAAAAAAAATTGATACGAAATTAAAGAAAATAAAGAAAATTAATCCTAGGAAGGGAACTTTAAGTTAATGCCAAGATATGTTTCGATTTTGAGGTTAGAATAAATACTCTATGAAATAAATATGTATGCAGAGAAATATTAACAAAGATATTCTCAATTAGTTACGTGAAAAACTTTATAAGATCAACTAACTGAAAACATTAGTTCTACTAAAAATTTAAATAATAGTTAAGTTTAAGATAAGATATAAGTCATGAAGTACTCCAAATTTAAGTTGACAGAACCATTGTTTCTATATTCTTTTACCAAAAAGGAGTACCTTAATTACATGTTCCGCTTCTATCTTCTTTGCATTTAAATTTTTCTGAAACCAGATATGACATTGACAAATCTAAAATAATCAACAGAATATTTATCTCTTGGAATTTAGATAGAATGACTGGCATAAAAAGATGAGATTCATATAGATTCATGTATCTTCTTATTTAAAAAAGTAAAAAGATATAATGATAGGAACGATGACATTGTAAAGCAATAAACAAAAATGAAAATTACCACTGATGTCAAAGAAACTGATGTAAGGTATACCAAGGGTAATACACCATCCAATAATTCGTATACAGTCAAAAACAGTGTCCTCCTTCGCGCCGAAAATGATCACTAAATGCCTTGGTAGCTTTTTCATTTCGTTCGCGACACGCGTCAGCATTTCAGTTTCTGTCCTTAGGTTCTCACGGTACCAGATTTCGGTACACTTGCGATGAACGATCATACAGCAATTATAAAACCCGGCAAATAAGTCACATGAAAAGTGGATTAGTGTTAGTAACATGCGAAATACTGTGAACATTATAACGTCCGATGATCGTCTAGTCTATGTAACATAATCACACAAGACTGGTCGTGATTTTAATGTTGAAACAAACTTTTTCAAAACTACCCGGGGATGGTCACGAGGAAAATTATGCACGTAGCCACTGACACTGACCCGTCTAGCAGACGGTCACCGTCACCTCACGTGCACCTGCTTACGCCAAATGATAAACGCACCCTTCTGTCGACAAGAAGCATTAAAACATATCATGTTGGCCGCCAAGTCACATAGAGTATGAGCACATTTTTGTCGCCTAGTTACTTTATATATTTTCATTAAGTAACGAATTATGACAATGGGATATATTTTTAAATGATCTGTGATAACCCTTCCCTATCTTATCTAAACAACAGCTAAACTGCACTACATATAATTACACTATTTGAAGTAAAAGTGAAGATGGCGTATAGTTCATTTTTACTGCTAGTTACAATGTGTAAAGGTTAGGATATTAGATGATACGAATTTCCAATATAAGTGATGGCATAGTATATTTGCAAATTAAATAAATGGTAGTAATGGTCATATCATCACAGGAACGAATGAAAAAATGTATGCCTGATGTCGTTTAGGTGATGTTATTTGTATTGATTTAATGTACTCAAAGGAGTGTTATAAAATTACGGCTAAAAGATAGTTGGATACTGAGCTGATCTTTATTGAACTGTATCTGTAATAAATCGGAAATACTAAGTAGAAAAATTTGACATGTTAAATATTCAAATATTAAAATGTTAGTTATTACGTCGTAACTATTTTTATTTTTCAGGTTTTTTTTAATTCATTAGTATGTGTTTTCAAATTACAAATACCATAAAGGATATAACCTAACAAACGCGAAGATGGTACCCCGCTGGGGGTAGCCATCCGCATGATAATCAAATAGCTAAAAAATTCTACCAAATGTCCAAATTGGAAAAATTGTGAATGTGAAATATTAAATAAAAAAATGACAAATACATATATTATAGTAAAAAAAGCTAAACATTTTGAATGTATATTGTGTATTTACTAATACTTATTTACAAAATGGCGATATAAATAGCAGATTACAGTATACATAAAAAAATAGCATACAAGAAAGTTAAGTGTAATGAAAATTGATATCAAACTTGAATTTAAAAATACAAGATATGATAAAGTTACGTTAATTTTATAAACAAAATAGTCCACAATATTATTCTATTTATGTAATTAATACCTTAAACTCTTTTAAATCATTTCATTCAAATACTATATACCGTGTTAGATCACTACATGCTCATAACGCGCATGCGCAGACTGTAATCATAAGTGTAAACTGTAGCTCACGGAAGGAAATGCCGCTATTTTGTAATAACAGAGTGTAGTTACAGTTATATAAACATAGCGACAAAGTTAATTCTGATATGTTGTGCAGTTAATAACTTGAATCATAAAAAATATCGTATAACTGCATAGAGATAGAAATATTGTCATTTTATTGACCATAATTTTTACAGGTTAGACACGTGGTTTTACTCTACATTCTTACTTTTGTGAAGTTATGTATTTTTCGTACATAACCTTATATGTATTTTTAAGTTAACAATAGAATGAATTATTTTCAGTATTTATAAAATAAAAAGATGTCATTCCGAGGTCGCGGTGGTGGCGGCGGATTTGGTAAAGGGGGAGGTCGTGGTGGAAGAGGTGGAGGAGGATTCCGAGGAGGCCGTGGTGGTGATAGAGGTGGAAGAGGGTAATTATTACATTTCATACTTTCTCACTTGATATATAATAATGATTCATATATTATAGATATGATCAAGGTCCACCAGAACAAGTGACTCCATTAGGACATTTTACATGGACGGTTCAAGATGACTTAGTTGCTAAAGTAGATATAGAACAAGTACCCTTCTTTAATGCTCCAATTTATACAGAAAACAAACAACAAATTGGAAAAATAGATGAAATATTTGGCAACATTAGAGATTACTATGTGTCTATAAAATTATCCGAAAATATAAAGGCATCCAGTTTTCAAAAGGATGCACAGGTATATTTTGTTTTATATATATGAATCAAACTTAACAACTACTTTCCATTAATTATTACTACTGTATTCCATTACAGCTATTCATAGATCCAGCTAAGTTGTTACCTTTACAAAGGTTTTTGCCTAAACCTCCTGGTTCTGTACAAAAGAGAGGAGGTGGAGGTGGACGTGGAGCAAAAAGAGGTGGTGGAGGACATGGTGGTGGACGAGGTGGTGGCAGACCATCATTTGGACGTGGTGGAGGTTTTGGAAGAGGAGGTGGTGGCGGTGGTTTTAAAGGACGTGGAGGAGGAGGATTTGGACGTAATGATTCTGGCAGAAGTCGTGGAAGGGGAAGATGGTAGAAAATTAAAACTGCAGATGGATTTTTATATAAAGACATATTAAATGATAAAAATTTCTTAATTTCATAGGTAATTTTTAAAATACATAACTGAAAGAATCATAATGAAAACAATATATGATTTATTTGTAACAATGCTGTTGGATATTATTTATCATTTCTGTATTTATAAGTTCATGATATAAAACCACCTGTTTTATAATTGTTAAGTATATTTGACAGGAAAGAGTACTCTAAGTTTACACTTCATCGAATTTGATATGCTTCCCAAGTTCTTTTTCTGCCTTTTTTAGTAATTTATTCCTTCCTCTCTGTTTGATTTTTACTTTTTTACTCAATTTTTCTTCTCTGTCATGCAAGATTTTATCCCAATACATTTTTTCCTCTTCACCTACACAAGAGGACATAAATGAAATTACTTCCTACTAAAATATTTACAACGTTCTCTTACCTTCTAATATTCTCATATTTCTTTCCTCATCAGACTTTTGTATAAATGCTTGTGCAGCTTCACTTGTATCACATCTTACATAAGCAAAACAAGAACCATCTTCAACATCTATATATTTTACAGAACTATTATTTTTTAATTCCATCTGAAAATATTAAAATATATCAAAATTATATATATTTATTTATTTATTTTTTACTCGCATTATATCTTCATGTTCGACATATATATATATATATATATATACCTTTAAACTTTTTGGATCTGTACATGGTTTATCCATTTCAATTTTAACTATAACTCCTGATGTAAATGAGAAACGACATGCAGATACACTATTTTGTTTTCCCGTTTTGTCCTTCTCATCATTTTCTACCCTTTCAGGTTTATTTTTTTCATAATTCGACCACTGAGTCCATCTTGTTTTTCTTAAATGTTGTTTGAGTTGTTTCATCTTACTTCTCTGTAATTCTAAGTATTTATTCCTAAGACATTTCCAGTCCTTCTTAGCCATAACTTGTAATCCTATACTATAACTAAAATCTTCCAGTTTACTTTGCTTCTTCCGCTTTTTCCTTTTCTTTTTTTTTTCATTTGTATTTTCTTGTTCTTTATTATTTAGAATAGTACTGTCATCAATTACCATTTGTTCATTTTCATCACAATTATCTGATACTTGTTCTTCCTTTAAAGGCACATTCCTCTCACATTTATTTAATTTTCTTTGTGTACCTTCCAAAAAAACATCATTTTGTTTTTCATTACTTGATTCTATTTCCCCACTGTGTAAATCACTGGGATTTTTTAGCTTTTTCTTTTTACTTTTTATCAGTTCACTGTCCATTTGCTCTTCTGTTTCACCTGGTTCTGCAGATTCTGTATCTGAGTGTCTTCTTTTTTTTGCTTTCTTTTTATTGTTATTATCATGATTTTCTGAAGTATTATTGATGTTTGTGTGCATCTGCTGCTCATTACTTCTGTCTGTTTCAGTGTCTTCCAATTTTTCATTAGCATTTTCAGAACAGATACTTTTCTCATTTCCTAATGTCACATCTTTTTCTGCATTATCAAATGTAGTAATGCTTAAAAGTTTATCAGGAGCTGTATATGATGGTAAAACACAGCCTTTTTTTTCAAATGCCTAAAATATATTAATTCAATAGTATAAAATAATTAAAAATTTTCCATTGTTATATATGTTCCTCTTACCTTTAAACAGTTTTTAGCACTTTCAATTGTATCGAACTCTACAAATGCAAATCCTTTTATCTTTTTATTATTTTTAAATCGTGGAATAGAAACATATACAACTTGACCATATTGAGAAAATATTGAACTCAGTGTTTCATGATCTGTATCTGGAGGTAAATTTTGTACGTAAACTGTACATTCATCAGTGTTTTCTTTTTGTGCTATTGGTGTTATACGTCGTACTTTCATACCATCTTCAGATAACGATAATATTGTAGATGCTTGTACACCTTTAGATATCCTGTTTATATCAGTAGTCAATTCTCTTATTTTATTAAATTTTAGAAAAACACTGAGGTCCACATCTGAAATATTCAAAGATAGAATTTTAAAATGTCAAATGACAATTAATAATGTCATAATGTTAACATTATAATTCTTACATGGATCTTCTTTAACTAAATTACTTAAAAATCTATCTTTACTTAGATTTGCATCACTAAAGTAAAATTCCATTTGTTTTAGTATCGCAGCGTGCAGTGCCTTTTTTCTAAGTCTGGGTTTCCCTCTAGAAATGCTTGTAACTTTATTAACTGTTTCTATACGCGAGTCTTCCACTGATTTTTGCACTTGCGGTACAGGAACTCTCTCTGAATCTAACTCCATATCAGACTGTTGTTCTTCCATCACCATTGTTATTTAAAAATTTGTATAACTGACGATGAACAACTACGTATAATTTCTCCTATTACCAAGTATCTGTAAAGAATAATGGAAATGTAAATTTCAAACTTAAGCAAATGTTTCGTACTTATTTCAGACACCTTATAAAACTAGAATGATACTAAGAATATTCAATATCTTACAATACGTATATAGCACTTGAAAAAAATGAAATTTGTTACGCATACAATCCAAATTGTAAACGTTTACCGGTTGAGAAACCTTGTAAACATAAAACCAAGCCTGAAATCACGCAAATTGCAGTCAGAATATCTGAGGAACTATATAGGATTATTTTAAAGATGCTAAAATGTTTAAAAATCACAAATTTATAGGGAATTTATTTTGTCATTTTAGGGACCTTTAAAACATTAATCGTCAGATATTACAATTATTTAGTTAAACAAAAATATATATTGCTGTAAAAAGTAGATTAACATATATGATTTAAAAACAATATTCAACGAATGTTTTATTATCTGTACCAATAAAATTCATAATATTGTAGACATATGTCTTTATTTGACTTCCTTTCTGTAGTCGATTAAGTAGTTAATGGTAGCCACTCCTGACATATATGTATAATCATTGAACTGAACTGTTCAAGAACCTCAAGTCATTCGTTGATTCGTATGTCGGGTGCAATTAATTAAAGAAATTCTATTTAAAACAATGGATGAAATGGGTATTATTCTGCCTGATAAGGTATATATATTTCTGTTCAGATTTTCTTCCAAAATTACAAAACAGAGAAATGAACGGTCAAGAGTTATTGTTGAACTTAAAATTATTCACTGTAACCTCAATTTGTATTCTATTTAATTGTTATGTATTGTTATTTATAATAAAAATTCCTCGTACTTTTGTTGTGACATAAGTAATATTTCTTTTGTTAAATTTTAGGATATTGGAGAGATGGATTGCAAACCTGTAAGTGGACACTATACTGGTGCTGGTGATGAACTAGATGTTGAAGATCTTTATACAAAGTACAAGGTAGGAAAATTTGATATTCTATTCCTCTATATACTTCTTTGCTTATGTATATATATTTAATTAATATATGAACATAATAATAATTTTATATTTATAGAAACTACAAAGAATGCTAGAATTTCTTGAGGTTCAAGAAGAATATATTAAAGATGAACAACGTAATTTGAAAAAAGAATATTTACATGCTCAAGAAGAAGTAAAGCGCATACAAAGTGTGCCTTTGGTTATTGGACAATTCTTAGAAGCTGTAGACCAAAACACTGGTATTGTAGGTTCTACTACAGGTTCTAATTATTATGTACGGATTTTATCTACAATTGATAGAGAACTGTTAAAGCCTTCTGCAAGTGTAGCTCTTCATAAACATAGCAATGCTTTAGTAGATGTTCTACCACCAGAAGCTGACTCAAGTATTTCAATGTTGCAAGCAGGTACTTTATTGTTATTGTTAGCAATTTAAAAAATTGTAGAAAGAATAGTGTTTCATGTACTATTTTATTTTATAGATGAAAAACCTGATATTCAATATAGTGACATTGGAGGCATGGACATGCAAAAACAAGAGATTAGAGAAGCAGTAGAACTACCTTTAACTCATTTTGAATTGTATAAACAAATTGGAATCGATCCACCAAGAGGTGTGTTAATGTATGGTCCCCCTGGATGTGGTAAAACTATGCTTGCAAAAGCTGTAGCTAGACATACTACTGGTATGTATCATTTTCAGTGTTATATATTTTAAGAACATTTGAATAAACAGTATACTTAACTTCTTCTAACTTAGTACAATTAATATTTTTTAGCTGCATTTATTCGCGTAGTAGGATCAGAATTCGTACAGAAATACTTAGGTGAAGGACCAAGGATGGTCAGAGATGTCTTCCGTCTAGCCAAAGAAAATTCGCCAGCTATAATTTTCGTTGATGAAATCGATGCTATAGCCACAAAAAGGTTCGACGCACAGACTGGTGCTGACCGCGAAGTTCAACGTATTCTTTTGGAACTGCTTAATCAGATGGATGGTTTTGATCAAACTACTAATGTTAAAGTTATTATGGCTACAAATAGGTACGATTTTGATCTTTATTGTGATCTTTACAAAAAGTAATTGATATAAATGCAATGATCCATCTTCTTTTTAGGGCCGATACATTAGATCCTGCATTGTTGCGTCCTGGCAGGTTAGATCGAAAAATCGAATTTCCTCTACCTGATCGTCGTCAAAAACGTTTGATTTTTTCGACAATTACGGCGAAAATGAATCTGAGCGAAGAAGTAGATCTTGAAGATTATGTAGCACGACCAGATAGAATTTCTGGTGCAGATATTAACGCAATTTGCCAAGAAGCAGGAATGCACGCAGTTCGTGAGAATCGATATATAGTCCTGGCGAAAGATTTCGAGAAGGGCTATAAAAATAATATTAAAAAGGATGAATCTGAACACGAATTCTACAAATAATTAGGGAGAAACCCTAATAGTAATATTATGCGCCATTTACATTTTATGATCACATATGTATTGTCAAATTTATGTATTGCTATAAATCCAATAATCAATATACGTTTATACAATTTTTGCCTTATCAGTTACACACATTATTAGTTATCTGTCTCAGTTCACGAATTTTCAGTTATTTAGAAATATATGAACACTAGTGGTATTGTAAGGAAGTTTATCGCGTGTAATTGATCTATTTAAAATTATGGAACAAATCATTTTTCAATATTGATTATTATTAGTAAATTTATGAAATGTATTAAAGGAAATACTTATACTTTCATTTTATCAAAATTTATCGAAATACTAAAATATATGAAATAAGTCAGAATTATTCTAGTTTCTTTAAAGGTCAAGTGATGACAAACGTCATTGTGATCGTCCATCACGAAATGTTATGACATGATACAACATCGATATGTAAAATAATTCAACTAATTCATTGTTCAAAGTATATAACAACAAAAATATCGCTGTATATCGAACGAAAGTGATTAATTTTATTTATTTAATATTACATTTTTATATCAATTAACGTAAAAATCGCAATCCTAACCTAACCGTCAGTTAGTAGTTAGTAGTTTAAAAAATATCTTTTAAATTTTTCAATATATCTTGAGATTATTGAACTTTAATAGTACGATAAAACTTTATTACGAAATGAATCTACCACGAATATTAATAATAAGCACCGAAAAAGGGAAAGCTAATGAAATTGCAGCGTGTAAGTTGAAACTTTAATATCTTTTTAATTTCGATATTAAAAATTTGGTAAATTAATTTTTTTTTATATAAATGTTTGGATGAGTATTATTTGTTGCAATAATTTTTTATTTTTATATGTTATTTTATTTTATAGATATAGGTGGAGAAAAATTGTCTAACCAAGATCATTTTGAATATCATTTATGGGATATTCAAAACAAATATTACAAAACACAAGTGTTAATATGTGTAATAGAAAATCCTTCTGAAGATATTTCAATTGATAATGTAGAAGCATTAATTGTATATCATAATCCACAGGCAGTAAGATATTTAACTTCTAAACAGAATCTTTGACAGAACGAATGATCTTCAGCACTGATTTTCCTAGGAAGATGCAGATCAGAATTTAAAGAAATGGTCATCTCTAATTGATTCTTTGGCAGAAGCTGAGGTGCTACTGTTTTCTTGTAATTTTATAACAGACACCATAATTAGGAATGAAGGTATATACAAATAACAATTGTTATATTAACTTGAGGAACATTAGACATGTAATTAGTGTATTTCAGTGATAAAATGGTGTCTGCAAAACAGATTTGAGCTAATTGAATTAAATAGACCGGATGTAGGTGCTTCAGAAGCTGATTCAGAAAATAACAAATATGGTATTGAGAGGATTATTGAAGCTTTACATGCTCATATGTGGCCAAACATGATACTTAAAGGTTTCTAATAAAGACCTATATATACACTTAAACTAAATTGGCTAAGTTTAAAAAATATTGCTTCATAAGTGGAAATGCTTATTCACTAATTGTTTAAAATTTGTAACTTATTGTAACTTTACAGGAAAACCATTGGATGTAGGAGAACAAAATCCTGATATGGATGAAGTTGAAGAAAAGTTTGAAAACATTGAATTAAGTCAAGATTCTACAGAAACATTACCAATAGAGAACATGCTAGGTAAGTTGAAGAATAATTCATTATGAGATTTTTTTGCAGCTCCTATATACCATTTTTTTTCAGATGGAATTATGGGTGAAGAGAATGTAGATTTTGGAGAATTGTTTAGTCAATTGAGAGCTATGAAAGAACATGCAGCCTTGCTGCCAACTGATCAAAGACGAATAGCCGCTGAACAATTAGTTACTGCTTTCTGGAAAGCAATGGGTGGTGATCCATCAGAAATGGAAGATTAATATATGTATTAATTGTATAATGCACTTAAATTCATATTAGGAACGCGTATCTTTATCTTGACATCTTTTTGATATATTAATTTTTAAGGAGAGAACATGACGGTCGTTACAATAGTTAATTGTGAAATATTTGAAGTCGTTTAAATAAAAATCAGATGTAACGTAACAATGTTAAATTATAATAAACATAAGTATAAAATCAAAAGATTTGATTAAAAGTATTGTTTGTAGAAGATTCTCTTTTACACATGAATATTTCCATTGAAACTTTGTATAATTTCATTGTAGGTACAATTAAATTAATTCAAATAATCATCGATCGAATCGAATTATATATACAGTAATGTTTCGCTAACTGACCACGGATCTGGACTGTATCTGGCCAATTATCAAGAGAAGTATTTTAAGACATTCCAAGTATTTCTTTTTGTCAATGAATGTGAGTGAGATATAGATACTTGATACATTTGTTTATTTTGTATGCGTAATATCAATGAACTGTGGATATTTATGCAAGTTTATATTTTTATGATTATAACTAAAAAAATAGAATTTGAATATAAATTTGTTTCGCCATTTAAATATTGTAACGAGTAGTATTATATTTCTAGTATTTTATTTCGAATATTTTTATATATTACGTGCATTATATAGATTTTTGCATTTAAATTCTACTTAATACATAAAGATGCATAAATGTTCAAAGTCCAGAACGTTGAAAGTTCACTTCCAAGAACTGGCGGGGGTAGAAATGGTCAATGAATCAAATTCCTGGTCAGTTAACGTGGCATTATTGTATTTAGTGGTTGTTCTTTGTTTATTCCTCAAACATTGGCATCCCTTGTTTCTCCCGAATTGGTGAGCGTTTATAGTTGCCGGCCTGCCGTTTGACTAAAATGTCTGACGCTTTTCTCGCAGTGGCTCCGTTTAATTTGGACGAACATAGGATAGTGAAATTAAAAATATTGGTAGAACAAAAAAATCAGGCGTGTAACGTTGATAATATTTCATCATTTTTATCGTCAGCAACATGTACCCATCGGTTACTTAGCACTCAGCATGGAGTAAGTTTTTGTAACAACCAACAAAACTATATCCAGTAATATTTAGTCCTCTATTAACATTTTTTTTCGAATTTCGATCTGTTTGACTGGATGGTGACAGTTTTGTAAAATTTTACTGAAAATAAGTGTGTTCATCATAACCTTATAAAGTATATTTAAAAATTGGATAGTCGAACCTATTTTACTTTACTTACGATTTCCTCTATAAAAACATACATCAATGATTTAAACCAGTCAATGTTTTAATGTTTTACCTGTCTGTCGAATCGGTTTCGTAATTGCTTTTTATTTTGAGAAGTATCAATTTAAAATTATTATTGATGATGATGTATATGGTGTAATTGTACTTGTAGTACTATTTAATAAGGTTCTTGTAGGGATATGTGTAAATGCTTGTATTTTTGTAAAATTTTGATTATATTTTATATCAAAGTGTGTTCTTTTTTTGTGAAACATTATATGGAATGTTACAAAAAAGAGACCTAAGATAATTTTTGTATCTTTTAATCATTTATGTTGACCACATATTTTTTTAGTCTTCTGAGTACTAGGTTACAAAGTGTTATAATCTTTTTTTTATATTTTTTTATATTTTTTGCTTATGAGATTTAAAAAAATGTTAATAATATTCTTATTTAAAAAACAAAAATACATAAAAGAATAAGTTATAATTGTTTCACGCAAGAGGATTATAATTTTTTGTACATAGATACGAATTATATATGTTTTATTTTATAGAATCTGATATATATATATTAAGCATGAAAAATAAAGTTTTTGTTGATGCTTGTAATACTAATTTAAAGAATAATCATATGCATGATAAAGTAAGGCATTGTCAATGACAAAAACAATGTAGCTGATCTCCTTGAAGGTAAATTTTCATACTTGTTTGTTTATTTCTGCAATAAATTAAGTATGTTGTATTCTTTTTTTTATTGTGATATAATTTTATATATAGAAGAACCAGAAAATAAAAGTGCTAACACAATGTCACAATCAGAAGATGCTTATGCTCCAGAGGAACCAACACCAGACATTCCAATATCTTTACTTGATATACAAATGCCAGAAACACCAGATAGTACAAAAGGCCAAACTAGCGATGGAGACACACCTAGGTTGGAGAGTCCCAAGATGCTCAAGCCTGTGCTAGGAAAATTACAAGCTAAGAAGAGATTGATGGCATTTGCCAACAAATTTAATGTCCCACCAAAACTCCAAAATAAATCCAATCTACTTCAAGCACATTCTACCAAAGTTTCTAAATCTAAAAGTATGCCAAGTGATAATAGTAAATCTTCAAAAAATGATTCAAGCACAATTGTAAATGTTGACTCAGACTCTGTACAATTTCATAATCGTCATTCAAGTGGTGGTAAATCAAAAAAGAAAACAGGTAATGTTCAACAAGCTTAATTTATAGATCTTTTTATATTTAAAAAATGTATAATTTGTAACTAATTTCAATATGGAAACATTTCCATCATATAGAAGAAAAAATATTGGCTATTGAAGAGATTAGACGAGAAGAATCTAAAAGTAAAATGTTACTGGCCGAAGCTATGGCTGCAGGTACTTATAACATGAAATTTTAGATAAAACTTAATTATAACTATAACTATATTACACTAACTATAATATCTTACAGCTAGTTTAGAAGAGGAAAATTATGCAAATAGGAATGGACAAAATTTATTAGATAATGTAAAGATTTTGAGAGAAAGAAGTAGACAAGATGATGTTAATGTCTCTTATAAAAGTGCTTCAAAGTCTGCAATAGAAAATAAATATTCAGAGAGGTATAAAAATATTTATCGTTTTTGTATAATAAACAGTTAATTCTTGCATTTTTACATGTATAAGTAATGTGCAAAAACTATTTTAAGAAGGCGATATGGAAGAGAAGAACGAAGAGATAGCGCGAGTAAAGAGTCAAAAGATTATAATGGTAGCAAAGGACGATATTATAAAGTCCCGCGTGATAAAGAACAACGTAGAAAAGATAAAGATAAGAAAGATGATAAAGATAAGCGAGAGAGTAGTAATAAATACGAAGAGAACCGAGATAGGAAAGATGATGAAAAAGATAAAAAGGATAATGATAAATGGGAAGATGTACGAGAAAAGAAAGGAATAAAAGAGAAGAAGGAGAGTCTTAAAGAAAAAAGAAGTGATTCACAGGAGAAACCTGAAATTAAAGATAGAAAAGAAAAGGAGAAAGATAAAGACAAAGGAAAGGAGAAAGACATAATGAATTTTTCTTCGTGGGTGGAGTTAAAAAAGTGTGGTATAATGATGGACGACATCATTGAGATTAAAAGACGTGATTACTCGGAACGATCAATAAAGAACAGGTTTGCTTGTGTCTCAAAATATTTACATTATTTTTTATATCTTTTTTATATATTATGTAGATATTTGGCATATATATATATATATATTACAGAACAGCCGAGGATTATTTACGTCACTTTGAGCAAATGTTAATGATAAACGATTGTCGTTTGAAACGTTACGCTTTTATTGCCGAAGGACTGGAAGGTCCTAAAGAGTACCCTCCTGAATCAGTAAGAGCAACTAAACGAGGAAGGCCTCAATTATTTTATTCTGAAAATCCCCGTATGTCGCTTTTCATCAATCATCAGCAAATTCTTCAAGCAGTTACTGCCGATCATCGTGATAAAATGCGGAACATATGCGAGACAGACTTTATACGGTATACTAAAATGTCTTTTGTCTCACTAATTTTCCTTTACCCATTCAGATCTTAACAATTCTAGAAACGATACGGAAGCAGCGGAAAAATCTCAACGTACACGTAACTGGTATCCAAAGACAGGCATATGTAAATCTGAAGGAAATGACAAGTGGCATGTACCAATTAATGTACAACTGCCTAGGTCAAAATGGGATAGTGAAGATGAAGACAGATTATCCGACACTGAAAAGGAACAAAGAAATGTAGTGAAATCGAGCGGCATGACTTCGAAGCAAGGTAAATATTTTGTTTACTTTATTTATAAATTAGAAAAGTTTGTATAAAATTTATTTTAGAACCTGAGGAATTTTCTCCACGGTTAAGTACAATAGAAGAAGACATTAATAAAGACCAGAAAATGATCAACGAAGATGAGTCTTCTAGTGTTAAAAAAATAGACGACAATAGACAATCAACATCTCCTTTGTTACAGTCTGCAGGCAATGAAAAATTAGCATCGGAGTATGAACAGTTCATGAAGATGGTTTGCAGTGATATTCCAATGTCGAAAGAATTCTCCCCAAAACCGAACAAAGCTTCTGCTTCGACGTTAAGCTATCATGAATTTAATATAGAAACTAATTTGCCGAATGACAATAATTTTTCGTTTGTAGAGCATAGTATATCCGGAAAGTCGGATAAAAGTAATTCAAGTAAAATTGAGGAAAAATTCAAATCCAATGAAAGCCGACAGAACTTGGAAAATATTTCGAAGATCGAGGACGATCAGATACCATCAAGCAATTCTCATATTCAGGTTCAAAAACGCGTAAGAGTAGAGAGTAAAAATGTACATGATAAAAGTGAATCGGAAGATTCTAAATCAATACCCAGCGATTGGGAAAACGTTCGAATTAAAGTAGAACGTATGAGCGACGAAAATTCTGATTCTAAAGAAACAAGAAAGAAAAAAAGACGAAAGAAAGTGACTTCTAGCAGTAGTGAATCATCCAGTTCGTCGAGTTCTTCCGACTCTGAGGAAGAAGTAAAAAGAAGGAAAAGAAAACGAAAAATATCGAACGATTCGGACTCATTATCGGATTCAGATAGCAGCGATAGTAGTAGTAGCAGCAGTGATTCTTCTAGTTCCGATGATAAACGGAAGAAAAGAAAGAAGAAGAAACGAAAAGCTGAAAAAAGAAAGAAAAAAGCGAAACGAATTGCAAAGACGAAGAAGAAGAGAAGAAGGAAAGTCAGTTCGGATTCAAGTAGTAGCGATTCGTCTGAAGATAGGAGGAAAAAAAGGGTAGCGACTAGAAAGTCTAAGCAGAAGAAAGAATATAACGATAAACAAGATAACAGAGAAGATATAATAAAGACGATACAAAAGTCGCCTTTGGAATCTTCTTCATTAGAAAATGCGAAATTGGTACGTTCTCAAGTTCCATTAAAAAAAATTAAAGAGGAAGT